ACTTTGATATACTAGTAGTGATAATATTGGTTAGATTTTACAGTGTTTGTCAGTAGTGTCACAAATTCAACATATCTGTCACTCTACTGTATGCAGCTTAAAGATACGAGTATTTCTAACTGGCCTGGATGAGTGTTGTTTGCAAGCAGTGCGCTTGTTAACTCACTAGAGGCTGGTTTATGCTTCAGTAAGCACGACAGAGACAAGTGAAGGACTAGCAACCTGGTTGGCTCAGCCAGGAATGTCAGGTCATGTGATCAAATCGACAAATCAAATAGGGCTTTGCATAGAATTAACTGGCAAGAAAAGAGACTTGCAGTGTAGAATCAGTGAAGGGAACGTGTTACCAAGGAAAAATACAGTGTGCAATTTACTTCTTGCCTGAAAAATTTATTTTGTATGGTGCTGACTTGTGCAAATGGTATCTGTTTGTGGAGGTAACCTATGTATTATGCTGTCTATAGTGTAAATTGATTAACTACAACTGTTGTTAAATAAGGCAGTGTACAAGGTCGTATCATGTATAGGCTAGGTTAGACTGATCTATTCACTGCACTGTCAGCTCGTTCAGCCATGTTGAAATTTTGTGACTGCATAAAACAACAGGCTCTTTACTGTTATGTAGCCTGTTCATTTAGTAGCAGATTGTCATGGCCATTTGACATGGCCAGATCATACCTAATTGATATGAGATTGATAACACACTGGACTTTGTATGGTAATAATTTCTATACTATTTTTATCAGCTGTACTCTGTTTATCATTTTGCATAAATGTTGCATTGTAGGATGAGAATAGTCGTTGCAACACTTAAGCGACCAAACCACTGCATGAATTTGCTTTCACCGAGTGCATTTATTAAGGCTTTTTAGTGATACTTCTTAATATTCATGTTTATGTTATCTGTGATTGATCTTTGAATTTGACAGTTTCTAATCCATGTGTTTTTAAAATAAAATACAAGATTGATGCTGGTGACATTTTAATCACCACGATAATAATTTTAATAATCTATAATAATTAGAGACCTTAGTAGATGTAATGCATTATACAGGATTATTATGTTTTAAGGACAGCATTCTTTATTATAGGTCGTATTAGATATAATACTGTGTACATTATATAGGATTATTATGTTTTAACAGGCCCGTAGTGTGGGGGAGTTAAGGGGGTTACGACGAACCGCCCAAAAACTGGAGAAGGTCCGCACTTAAAAACAAAAAAATTGGTATTCGTAGATATATTCACAATGTTCTCAAGAGTATTGGAGATAAGGGTATATTTTTCACTGAAACGAACCTCCCATGAATTAAGTCACGCTACGGACCTGTTTAATAAGGACAATATTCTTCTATTCTTTGAAATGAAAGAATCCTACAATCTTAAAATTTATAATAAGGATAAGAATATGCGTATGTCTCTGAAGAATGACAAACGTGAGGCCATAATTGATTCTACGTTTAATTTTTTATGAATATGCAAATGTCTCTGAAGAATGACAAAGTGAGACCATAATTGATTCTACATTCATTCTTTATGAGGACATTGTCGAGAATGAAGATAGTCCATAAGGATATTAGCTTTGATAAAAGACATTAATAATTATAAAAGATTAATAATGATACAAATTGAGCATACAGGGTAAGGTATCTCCCATACAGTATGTACTATGGGCTGTCAGGGCATTGGCAAATTGAAAGCGCCCCACTTGCCTTTTGGTTTTCTGGCAGTCTGGGGTATTGTCAGCAAATGTAATATAACTAGAAATTGCAAATTGCAAGTGAAGAATTGCAAAGTACAAAGCATATAAATGTTCTTCGAACAAAATTATTTATGCGAGTCAAGTGAAAATAATGAATAATAAAACTATAACAAATAATATGAGACACGACCCATTGTCTATATTAGAACACTTCTCATTGGGTAACAAAGTCGTAATTTTTAATTTTTGTCAAAAAGTGTGTATAGTGGTGAATTATGGGTTTTCAGGTTTTTTTTAATAAAGTTTCAAAAATTTCTATATATGTGGAAAATGTAGTTGATTACCAAAGGTTACAATTTTTATTTTGAAGACTACATGGTCTAGGAAGTGTACATTTTTTTATGGGGCAAGTTTCCAAGGGCGGGTTTTCTAGGGGCTAGTCGACTGCCAAAGAGTGTTGCCAGTGTGTTATTTGATCACAAGTGCGAGACATCGCAAGTGTGAGCCAGTGAGCCATGATGTCATGACAATAGATACGAGACGTTACTTGAGTTGTGCAAGGTATCGGCTGAGATTTTTGGAGTACAATTCAAAAAAGAACTATAGGTCTAATAATGAATTATTGTGATGTTAAATAGACAATGTTAGCTATCAAGGAGCGACGTTGCTTTTCATTGGGACCTTCGTCCCTTCAAGGCTAGGCCTATACCATCCTACTAGCTAGTCTAGGCCTAGAGTAGGATAAGGCTAGCACGACATGCGGACGTTGGTACGTGTTGGTTAGTCTACAAACGTCGCCTAAAGTAATTGATTTTACCCGGCAGAATGAAAGAAGGAAACTCCGCTTTTCAGTCGTCTTAGGCCCTTGTTTTTGACAAACAATGACCTTTCAGAGGTCAAATTGCTGTCAAGAATATGAATTGGCTGCTTCGCAGCAATGAGGTAAAATTAGCTGAAATGTTTTTACATTCCCATTTCAAATAAAGATGCATAAAGTATACCTAGAGGTTCATAGACGATGAAATAACTATTAAAAAAATCGTAGTAATAAAGAAATTGTGGTGAGAAAATTTGTAACCGTATTTATTCGAATAAATGCCTCTGGGCGTTTATTTTTGAGTAGGGTATTTGAGGAAAGCGTTTATTTTTTTTGAGTAAAATTTATACATATACTCATACTCCCCTTAATTTCACTGTAAAATGTGTTATTGCATGATCATAAAGATTTATTGATCCTAACCTGGTTTAGAATATGTAATACTACTGGAGTAGAACATTAATAGAATGTGTTGAGAATGATGTTGCTTCCATAAGTTTTCTTTACAGTTATTTATGGGGGTGGGGGGAATGCATTTATTCGAGGAAGGCATTTATATTCCAAATTATGCTCTGGAGGGGGCATTCATTCAAATAAATATGGTATATTGTAGTATACGAATACTAATATAGATTTTTTTTTAATGGATTTTAAAATTGGCTTTAATTAGTAGTTTCTGTAGCACGGTTTGCCTTTAATTATCAAGTTAATGCAGTGGGACTAGACATGCTCAGCTTACTGGATATTGCAGATGGCCAGGGATAAATCCTTGCAGCTATATGCAATTGCAATTACTGTATTGTGTATATTATGGCTCTGTGGCAATTCCAGTTTCTTCTGCATAAAACACTCTCGAGCTGTAGCTTACTATAGGAAGGTACTAAAAATATATGCGAGAAGATTATTATGTTTTATTATGTGCAACTGGGGAATGTTTCAAGTAGGTGGCGTCCTTTGAAATTCCTTGTAGCAAATGGATAAGAAATTATGGCAGGGAGGGAGTATAAGACTTTTTTGTTTTGTGTGTTTTTTTTTTTTAATTTATACACAATAGATACATATCAAAGCCAATCAGGTAGAAAATGACTGAAAATACAAAATAAGTTATTACGGGAAGTTATGCTGCGTTCATTAGAACTTGTGATGATGTAGCCAAGTATTTCTGTGGGTTTATTGAACAGTGTTTCAATGTATTACTGAAGGGCTGTGTGACATCAATATTTGCATGGCAACAAAGGTTTATATTCTGAAGCACCAGGCTGGATTATTATCTTTAACAGCCTGCATACCATAGGATTCCATATCCATTGTAGAAAACAATAGTGTATTTATGATCATACACTTAATGCAAATAAATCATTAGGTACTATCCAAAAGTATAGAACAGCAAGAGATCTGACTCTTGGGGTTTCGTTGAAATGGAATCCTCAAAATGTACTTCCACAAACTAGAGAGCGTTCTTCAAAAGAACATAACTTCCACAAACTAGAGAGCGTTCTTCAAAAGAACATAAAAGGCGTTTTTATCAAACATGTGCTGTGACTATTAGAATATATTTTCTAGTTTTGAACTGTATTCAAATTCAAATAGGGCACCCCAACTTGTGGTAGTACTTGGTTTTTTGTTTCATTGCGTGCAGGCAAAATCTAGGCGGTCAAACTTCTCAATTCTGTACTTCTTGGTACTATACTAAATTAATTTCAGTGAAATTATAGCCAAAGTAGTGTGGATAAAATATATTGGAGATATTTTTAAATCTAATTCAACATTTATTCAGTGGTCAGGTGACAGTGGGAAGCCATTGAATTTTACTGTTTCTTTTGTAGTTTCTAACTGGGCCCCTACATGTGGTAGCATCTTAAACATTAATTATTACAATTTACTATAGACACATTCTGGAGGATAGGAGCCTATTTTTATTTATTACTTTATCTGATTTGAACAAAGTTATAACACAATCTATATAAAACAGTTGCTTAGTCAGATAGTAAAGCACCTTTGAACTATCATGAAGTGGGTGCTATACAAATGTAGTAAATGAATAAAAATAGTCTTTTTAATAAATATTATTGAAGAATATAATTATTCTGTTTTTGTAACAATTTACTAAGTACTACTCATTGTTTTTTATTTATTTGATATCAACTTATAACATTGAAAACCAGAACAACTGAATACAATGAAACAAAATTGAGAAAACAAGTCAACAATGTTGATATCTGGGATAACCCTCTAAATCCCAATAAAGGATGTATTTCCAGAGGAGTCCTAAAAATTGTGATAACTAATAATATTAGATTTGTATTCATGGATCTGTTGAATACTTGTGGGTCAGTAGTTCTAAGAATAGAACTCTGTGTATCTATTTATATCCCAAATACTTATAGAGTTCATCTGGCATCACCAGGTATTGCATTTTATTGAAGAATGTTATTTTTTCAGTTAATAAATACTAATCTGGTTATTCATTTTTTTTTTCAGAACACTGATGATGTAAGCTCTGAAAAGTTTCGCGCAATTACAGCTGCCTTTGTTTCAAAAGCATCAGGCAAGTATAATTCATAATTTCCAGTGTATAAATAATGGCCCAAAATTGGATTTTGTGTTTTTGATAGACAAATGTTATTCAAATATACGAATGAGAAGATAGACTATTAGCTTAATTGGCAAGATATTGTGTGGCTCTGCTATTGGATATTTCAGTGGATCTGGTACCTTTTATACTTCTGATGTGTGCATATTACTGTAATAGTCAGTGCTTCTGTATATAGCAGTCCCTGGAAAATTTCACTAAGAGTTGGCCCTTGATCTGGACACTCGCATAGTATTATATATCATTAACACTCTTATTCGATTGGTTTGTTTTGCTTTTACACATTTTGATGTTAATAATCATTCAAATTACAGCAAAAAAAATGAATACTATTGTATGAAGGGCAGTTTAAGATTACAATGTTTTTGTTATTTATATTGTAAAATAAAATATTAGTAGTTTTGTAATATAATGAATATAATTATAATGTGGGTTTTATTTATCCAATAGTAAATGTTTCACATACTAATTATAAAGCCAAGACAGTGTGAAAAAATGTCTTACAGATTGTAATCAGACTGCTACTAGTACTAGATGTACAGTATTAATATCAGCATCATACTACTGTAGATTATTAATGAGTGTTTCAATCCCATCCCCATCTTCCTCTTTGTCCTGTTTTATTCTACTATGAGAAACCGTCTGTATTTGTCTATGTCTGTATTTGATGATTATATTATACTATGTATATCATAAACAAGAAAGAATATGAAAAGTAAATAAACAAAGAATTTCTAATTTACTAGATTTTATATTTAATTAAATATTTTCTTTTGAGTAACAATCAATAGTAAGTGTTGATTGATTTATCTCGCATTCGAATTTATTTTCTACTGTATATGCTAGCTTCATAGACTTTGAATTAAAGTAATGATTTGTCTATTGTAGCAGAAAACTTAATTGATTCTAATAAAGTGTAGCAGTTTATCATTTGGACTAGAAATCTTTTATCATATGACTTTGGATAAATGTTGCTGCTATACTCCATTTTATTATATTTTGCTGTGAATTAATAGTGTCTTTTCATTTGGAAAATAAAGAATAAAATTGAGAATTAATTAGTCAAATTATTAAGCACAGTGTAGAATATATTGTAAAGGGAAAAAATGTTGAAGACAGAAAATCATGTTTTTTTTTTTTTATGTCATTCTTTACAGTCGAAGATTACGAGGACCTTGGAGATGAGGAGGTATGTAGTTTGTTTTTTTTACTCTTGATAGAGAATGGTATCCATACCAACATCTCTCATGTCGTGATTATTAAGATATAATTTTTTATGAAGATTTTGAACTTGACTGATTGACGGGACATAACACTAAAAAGAAGGATTACCAGATTAACATGCCTAGATAGTTAGAAAATACCAAAATAAATAAAATCATATTTAAGAAGTAAACCTGAAAAGAAATACAGTAGATCCCCTTTAAGCCTAAGGGGATACTGTGCATTGTTATGCATTTTGTTGTTGAAAGAGAAATAAATTATTAATGAATATAAAAAAAAAAAATACAAATACAAAGGATGTACTAGTTTAATGTGAGCTTCTACTAGTGATAAATTCATACACAAACCACCTAACATTTATTTCTCTTTCAGTTATGTACAGCTTTGAAAGAAATAGATACAAATATAATTTTGAAGAGAGTCGAATTCCCAAAAAGGCTGCCTTAAAAAGAAAATAATCAATATATCAATATATTGTAGAAATATGCTGTTAAAAAATTAAATTTACATAAAATGAAAACTGTTTATAAATATCTGGCTATAAATTATAAAGCAAAACCATAATTTGTTTCTCAGCTATCAGCCCATCTGCCTATGTATTTCTTCAGTCATATTTATAGATTCAAAGTAATTATTATCAGTCGTTGAAAATTGCTGGTATTCTGTGTAGAGGAAAAGGGATAATTCGAATTTTGCACTACAGTAGCAATTATTCCAATTTGAAGCGATGACTTTTATTGTGCTTACTAAGGCCCATTAAAAAAAGAAAATTATTACTTTGTCACCCTGTTTGGGCTGGAAAAGTGATAAGGGAGGCAGGCTTTTTATTTTTATTTTGCAATAAATATCTACTATTTACTTAAAAAAATAAAGAGAAAAAAAAAGATTTAAAATAATAAATTAAAACTACATGTTTTCTCCCCCTCCCCAATTTTTTTTTTCAATACCATATAAGACATGTGAGCGAGGGTGATAAACTTATAATTTTTTTGGGGGCCTAATGGTCAGACACTCAAGTTTTATTTGACAAAAACATGTGACATGCCTAAATATGGTCCTGATATCATCATATCATGCCCATATATAGGATCATGACTATTTATGGGCATACAGCATTGTTTTTTTCAAAGAAAATATATTAGTGTCAACAGAGCTTAAGCCTTAGATAACTAATAGAATATAAATCCATCTGGTTTTGTAGAAGTGATCAATTAATGTATCTTCATCGAATTGTATTTTTCGAAATTGCCTAGTAAGCCCTTAAGATATGAACATGTTTGAAGGTTAGAAAAAAGAATTGGAATTAAATTAATTTACTGATGTATGTCCCTGGATATTCCATTACTGATTATAATATAAATTAATGGTACAGGAATAAACAGATGTAAAAGCTTAATGATTTCAAATTAATTGGTTATAATTTTGTATTCTATTATGGAACATGTAATTATCTCTTTGTTTGGCATATTAAAAATGTATCAATCAAGGCAGACTCTAGGCATGTTTTAATTTTTAGTAAACACCAAATTAATATGGTGGCTCTAAAGAAAGAAGAGGGCTGCTTATACTTAGCATTATCATACTGTTCCAGGGTGTAAAAGGTCAAATAACAATTAAAAATAGGGGAAAATCAAAGGCATTGCAATATTACAAACCAGAACAATTTTGTATTTGAATGTAGAACTAACTTAGCATGACATAAAAAGATTAAAAGATAAAAATTCTTTGTAATTTTTTTATTTTTTAGGTATTCTTCAAAGTATTCAAGGATGCTCTATATTCAAATTCCAATGGTAAGAAGACATTTTCATGTGAATGAATCCATAATTATCAAATGATCATGAATGATAATATTGTCAAGATGTATGTCAAGTGTTTAGATAAGAAAACTTGCTGGTTGGTCCAAAAAATTTCTAGTAAACTGTAAGAATGTAACATGATGTTCAAAAGAGCGACTTGTTATGTACTATATTAAACATTATCGATACAATAAGTCTACAAATTCTACAGTGCCAGTCATTTATAGTCAATGATGCAAGCTGGTACTCAATTCAAGTTTTTTAAATAAACAAAAATAGATTTGTGTTTCATTTAATTCATTTCTTAAAAAAAAAAAAAAAAAGACAAGAACGGAGAAATGGTAACAAAAGAGAGGAAAACCTATTAACTATCGAGTGGTTTCCCCAGAACATAAAAATATCACAAATATCAACAATAAAGATAAAATATACATCATTTGTCAAATAAAATGCAACTTACAGATTGTTAATTAATGTAAAACTCAACAATTTGGCATGTAAAATAAGATCGACTTAGAAATTATTCGAGTTAGGCAAAGTGGACTAGGCAAGTTTAACTGTTTACCTAGTAGTATGATTATATCTATCAGATGTAAATGTAGCAGTATTAGTTCAAAATTATCAAAGTTATTATTTTGAAATGCTCTTACAGTACCTTCCAATCCCGCATCCTGGGTACAATTTGTCTGCTGTGTTAGCCTCGTAATAAGACTTATTTCCTGTAGAGCATCTTATGCACGTATATTTGTCTTATGAAGGATGCGACTTAGGAAATTGATTAAAAAAAATAATGTTTATTTACAGAATGCAGAGTGCTCCAGTTTGTTTTTTTTTTTTTAAGTTCTCTCTATGACATATCCTTGGCTTTATGTGCCTAAAACAATCTTTTACAAATAAAAAAAAAAAAAATAAGTTATGTTTATTTACAGAATACAGAGTGTTCCATTTAATAATAATAATAACGTCTTATACAGTATAGTGCATAATACAAAAAAGTTACATTAAGTTACATCCTTAGCCTTATGGGCCTAAACAATCTTTTGCAAATAAAAAAAAAATAAATGATGTTTATTTACAGAATGCAGAGTTTTACAAATTTAAAAAAAAAAGTGATGTTTATTTACAGAATACAGAGTGTTCCATTTAATAATAATAACAACGTCTTATACAGTAATACAAAAAAGTTACATAAAAAAAAAAAGAAACATAACCTTTTTTTTTAAGTTCGCTCTTTGACATCCTTGGCCTTATGGGCTTAAACAATCTTTTACAAATAAAAAAAAAATAAATGATGTTTATTTACAGAATGCAGAGTGTTCCAGTTTTTTGCATGCCAAAGCCATCCACAGAACTCAACAACCCTTGATAAACTCAGCTTTGAACACATCAACCAGAACTTAGGAGAAGACCAGTTCCAGTGTTTTGTTAATATTATCAAGGTAAATAATTGCTTTTCTTTCCTCTATGGTAAATTCAAACCAAATTATTGCAACTACTGTAGTTGCTATTTGTGTGGACCAAATTTATGAGTCAAATTATCTTCAGATGACATAACGTTTACCCTAACTATTTAGTATGTTCAGTGAAGTATGAACCGTTGCATTAGCCATTGTAATGCATGTACATGCATTAGCACAAACAGTATGCATTTGGATAGTTTCAGTAGCTATCCACTGTACCTTTTCAGTTTACACATATTAGAGTATATGTTCACGCCTATCACATACATAGTCCGAAAATAAACTAAAAAGCTCATACAGTACTTGGACACCGAAATGATTATTTCAACATTAAAACATTACAAATTTCCGTACATGCATGAATTTTGAACATGTTTTTGCAGAATACATTGCAGTGTTTATGTGTACATTATGTTTGGCTTATATATTTCAGTGTTCATATACATATACATGTACATTATGGTGTGTGGTTTACATGCATATTTTAGTGTTCATTCATGTTTATTACAGCATTTAGACAGAATGTTAACTGACACATGTGAATTTTAGCATTTTAACATAGTACATGTTCATTAAGTGTTTATTCATGCATTTTTTATTGCTTATTTATGTAAATTTTACTCTTTATTCATGTACATCTTAGTCTTTATTCATGTAAATGCTACAAATTTAGCTGTTTAAGTTTCAGAATATCGTTACCGTTTTTTTTTTATGTTCGTCTCTAGTGCCTGATATAAATTTCGTTTTGATTTTTAGTTTTGTAATTTTTTAGATTTATACAAAATTTGTTAATATAAATTATTAATACTGCCCATTTGGGGAATTTGCTACATTTACAAAATGAAAGTTAACTAAACTGATAAGTTGAAAATTGCTAACTGCAATGTTTATAGTTTTTTTTCTCTCTCTTTTTTCTTTTGTTTTAATGGTTATTGGATTGAACATCAAAACTAAACCATCTGTCTGTATAGAAGCAGGAAATAAAATGTACAAATTACTTTAGCTTAATTATGGATACTGAGACCATGCTTATCATATTTTGTGTTTAGTTTTTGCTACATTCTTGCATACGTGTGTAAACGTGCTTTATTCCATACAATGATACATGCTGTGAATTTTGGTTCCTTTGTGACCTTAAGGTCACAAAGGAACTAATGGGGAAATTAGAACGTGAAATGTGTGTGTGTGTGTGAGCAGCGGGTTTGTAAACGAATAGGCTCCTAAACGGTGCCTCAAGGTGGGTATAATGTTTTCCACATAGTAACTGGTGGACATGTAGTTGTGCAAGAATTGTTTGTTTTTTATGTTAGATGAGAAATGTAGGACGTACACGATAAAACATATACCCCCTACCACCATTTTTGAGTCGTTTTTAGGAGAAAAGTTTGATATGCGCATGCGTCGGAAAAACTTTGCCGACATTTTGTTTTTCATCGCGAGAGGGTAAGCGAGCTCCATAATGCATACCTTGTTGGTGTAGTTGACCAATTGTTTACGGGATCGTCGGTAGGGTTAGGTCTCTGTCGTGTTAATGTAGCAGGTGCACATGTTATTAAGAAGGAAAAAAAGTGATCTAAACAAACACGGTCTTTACATAATGGTATTGGATCGAACGTGTTTAATATTTTGGGGAAATTTTGTTTTCTATCGCGAGAGTATACAGTTTACACTAACGTCGAACGTCTAGGCCCTAGCGTAAACTTAGGTAGTTGTGGTAAATCGACTACTGCTTGTCGTCAAGTAGGTGTAACATGTGTTTTGGTAAAAATTAATGTGATCTGAACAACATTTTACATTATGGTATTGAATCAAATGTGCTTACCTACCTAAAGTCTTTTACACACGATGAACACGGCAATTTACGTTGCTGTTGGTGTGCAATACGTACAAAACATGACAACGACAGCAGCATTCAGTCAGTCTTGTTAAAATAAATGTTAGATTGGTCTACCACAAGACTACCATACAGATCAATAAACAATAATCCGCGACAAAATAAAAATCAAGAGTATTTGTAACGATTGAATATGTAGCGTAAATGCATTCTGTGAAAACCTGGTGTACAGTTAACTGTACTTCAAACACAGAAACATCGTTGAAATGAAATTCTTTTAGGCTTATATATAAAAAAACGAAAAGAAAGTGGTGCAGAAAAAACAAATTGTGAACAATTACTGACTTTAAACACAGAAAAACGTACGTGTCATCAGTATTATGAAGTTTTTGTTTAAGACTGCTGTGTAATTTTACTGGTTTACAACATAGTTATGTCATGTATACTTGAATATGTAAAATAAATGAACTCTCTGCAAACTCGAAAATAAACCATTGACCAAGGCACGTTTTATCTACCACCATACAGCGCATGCGTGACATGCAATATGCAGAGCAGTGGTTGTAGTACTAGTTATTGTGATAACTATTCTACTTATTACGCAAAATTTGTTAATGTCAAACCATGGAGGTATGTCAAACCAAGGAGGTTAAAGTGGGAGCTTTTTAGGACATGACAGCTTTGGATACCCGAAAATGTTAATCATACTTCAAAATTTGTTATCTCAAATTGACGTCCCGATTTCCGATGTCAAAAACACCAAAAAATAGGGACGTCAATATTTTTAGAATAAAAAAAAAAAAAATTAATTGCAAGAAGTATCCACTACTTGCCAGTGTGATGAAGGGAATATTAGTCCGTGGTTCCCCGGGTATAATCCCATCCCCATGAACGCGAAACTGTCCCGATTTTGGGGGGAGGGGTGGCATTATACCCCGGGATTCCCTAGGCCTAGTGTATGAACAGATGGAAATGACGATCGTTTTGGAAGGTGGTTTTCACCTACGATTCAATAGCCTATCAAAATAATATTCGTGATGTAACAAGTTATTTTTAGCAGCGATTCTCTGTGGAAACATGCTAGTCTTCACGCTGTGAATTAACGATCCGATCAGCCCGCTGGGCAGGTCTTTTCCGGGACGGACCGCGGTGTTGTCTATCTTTACTTTACTTTACTTTTTTATGGGCTTTGTGTTTTAGTTTATGGCGACCAATGTCAGTTTTAAGCAATATTAAGAGTTTCAAGTCGGCAGAATTCGCAGACAATTCCTTTATTTTTTGAGCATTTGTTAAATTTATCGACCTAGGCCGACTTACCCAATCCTCAGACCCTGGGACTTCACCCGGGGAAATTTGTGTACGCGAAGTTGGGCGTAAAGTCGGTGTGGGATTCTATCCGGGGAACTATAGTAATATTTTATAGCAGTAGTGACTGAGAGAGTTTTCTCTATTGTTGAAAAAACAAAACCAAGCTTCGAGCTAGCATGACGTTTTTAATGTGTTTTTTTTCTGACTGACTTCCCATCCGAATGTTGACATCGACAGCTCAATACTACTTAATGTTTAGAATCTGTTGTACATTATTTGATATTTTTCAGTCAATATTTAAGTATATAGCGTAATATTTGTGATGTTATCTGCAGTGGTTTGAATTAAGGCAAGTTTATCATTGGTTTGTTTTTAATGTACTCTTGAGATTCCAACGGGGAGGTTTTTTACTGTCCCATAACGTTGCCATTCTCAATGTTGACTTCTCAAAATTTTTCTATTTTCAATATCTACTTCTAAGGATTTCTGAACAAAACTGATAGCATCTTGTTGGTATATCTTACATTTTCTTAGTTTCTCAATTGCAATTTTTTTCCCTCAGAACCGGAGATTAAAGCGTAAGCCAGTTCCGAACGTTTTTACCGAGTCATTCCTTAATCAGCTCAAGAAAACCTTGCAAAACGCCAGAGAAAAACTGAAGACTTTCAACATATCAGTAAGAATCTTTATCTTTTTTATAATTGAATTGCATTTGTTATGTTTGGTATATTTTATTATATTTTATGATTTATTCGGAAGGATTTAATTTTAAATTGTAAAATTCAACTGTTCAGCCAGAGCTGATCAGTTGGGACCCTCAGTACATACAATTAAATTCAAAAGAATAAAGGATGAAAATTAAATTAGATCTTAACAAATTCATTCATTTTGTTTCAGCGTGTAGTATCATTAGTTCTGTTTGTTAGTTTAGTTCAATTTGCTGCATTGTGTAGGTCTTCATATTCATTGCTAAAAGATAATTCATGCTGTTTTGTATTCAAGTGAGCAATTGCTTGCTTATTCTACTTATGGTAATGTAGCTTGTTCAAACTTGCCTTCTGTGAATGCTAATGTTGATTTAACAATTAAAGGGATTTTAGAGTTAAATTTCTATTTAAAAATAAGTATTATGAGCTGGTAGTGATGTAGGGTGGGGTCACTCCTGCTTGAAATTTTTCACCCAATCTAAAGCTAATTTCATGGCCCCTCACCCACCTTTATTAACCTCCTTGCCCATCCCTAAAATCTACCCTTCTTAAAACGTCTACCACCACCCTTAGTTTTCTACAGCTATGATTTTGTGTTTTGACATTTATCAAATCTGCTTGTCAGTGTCACTATTTGAATTGAACAATTGAATTGAGTTCTGTGGCAGTGCACTCCCAAATGTAGCAGGATCTATTTCCATTATCAAGTGCTTGAATTCTGTGATTATGAGTGAGTGCCATCATTTGTTTTATCAAGACTCTTCACTGTTATACTAATATGTCGTATATTTCAGACCGGAAGTAATATAAACATATCAGGTGACGTGAATGAACCAATCGTTAAACAGAAGTTGACTATTGAAAAAATAAACACTGACAGGAATCAAGTGATAAAGGTTTGATGCTTAACCAATTGTTAAATTATCTGAATAGCTGACTTGGAAATAATGCTTATAAGACCCTGTCATTGATGGCATGTGTGTTATATACCAAGCCATGGATGGCTGCTACTATAAAAAGAACAAAACTGAAGACTTCAAATTAACCCCAAGCAGTTTTGCTTCCATGCGCCATAGTTTTTTTTTTTTTTTAAAGATACCGTCATTTAAAAACAAATCTATGCTGGTTTTCCAAAGGTATCATTTCCATGGAATGATACCTTTCGCAAACATTTTTTTTTTTTGGCTGTCATAAAAAAATTGTTGATGTTTTGAACTAGAACTGATAACAAAGTAAAGTGAATAACTGAATAAATGTTAATAGACCTAAAGGCATTCATAATCATTATTAATTTTAAGAACTAACCAATAAGCATACATTTATCAAAAGCATTATCTTTGAGTGGACTTTAGTAAAGGGTTTTAATAACATGATCAGATAAGATTTATGTAATGTCTACGATACACTTGATGATACATGCAGGTAACCATGTTTGCATTACTTGCACTGCTGTCTATTTAGGTCAGTTAGTAGTCTAATTGTCTAGGCCTTGTTCAACTTAGTTACCTTCGCCAATCTGTCATTCTCTTGGGTAAAGCATCAAATCCTCCTGTTAAAAAAAAATCGAATCACTATGCTGCAGGTGATTGTATGCTGCTTAAGTAGTCTGTAGATAAATTAATGTATCATGATGTTGAGCGGAGGTTGAGTTTTAGGTAGTTTTTCTTCCTTTATCTCCTCAGTATTGTTAATTAATTTTTTGCAATATTTTTTCAGGCTGTACTGGAACCCATAGCCAAAGGTAAGGACATTTGTAACTTGTTATGATGAACCTTTTCACCATTTTGCTAGGCACCACTTTAGTATATTAGCTCTAATCTTAATAACCAATCATCATATACTTACATTACTTAGTAGTTTTGATTCTTAATTTTGTGTGTGGCACTTTTTCGATATATGTATTGGCTTTTGGGTTTCTTTGCGGTTCACTTGGGTTTTTTTCTCCACCTGACAGAAGTAGTAGAAAGCAAAGTGCAGGTCGTTAGTCCTTGGCCCCACCAACCAGCCCTTGTACATTCTCGACAAGTGCCTGCATATTTAACATTCAACCAACTCAATCCAAGCCATACAAAAACCCAAGGTAAAAAGAGAATTTCAAAACAAACGATATAATTTTGTTAGCATAATTTTCTATGCATCCCATTTTTTTAATTGAATTGCATTGCAGTGATAATAATATAAACAGGAGTTTGCATGATAAACAATTTATGTAAATTTATTACTTTTAATATCTCTCTTAAAGTACAATTTCAATTTTGCACAAAAATGAGATATATTATTCATATTTTGTTTTGAAATGTAAATTGTATTTGTTTTTCATATTAGTAGCATACAATTAAAATTCTGAAAGTGACTATGTACCTACCATAAATGGGATATATACATTACTGTAATTACCCCTGCAAGTAGCATTGAAAATAGATGCATTAAGATCATCCCAAGCATTATAGCTAACTCGACAGGCTAGATAAATTAGCTAATGCATATCACGTTCAACTGCACAGAATCATTGATGTTAAATATTTTTACTAACAACACAGAACCATGCCTACTAATGCAGTTGCTAACTAGTCTCTACTTGTCTGGTGCCATCTTTGTGTTCTTGTCTTTTAGTTTGTTCACTGTACCATGCCAACATAGGTAGATGCCCACTTTGTGTTAGAGTTCCTACCTAACACAATGATTGTGAGCTTTTGTCATGATTTGAGTCAACAAACCCAGACTACTATTTGATACTAATTGAAATAAATTCTCTAAATTGTGAATGAAATAGAATTCCATTTTCGGTTAAACTCTGGTTCCAAGTCTTAAGCCCTGTCCAGACTATCAAATTTTATTTGTGACATGCCTAAATATGGTCATGATGACATGACATCATGACTATATATGGGCATATAGTTTTTTGTCAAAGAAAATTTGTTAGTGTTAACAGAGCTTCAAGCCAAGCCTCAGGCATATGCACAATATGCAAAACCAAATCTCAGGCATAAGTCAAACTTCATTATTGTCATTTATCATAAGACGAATTCTGCACCTGATTGCTTGTTTTTTGTTGACATTTTAAGACTAAAAATTCTAGAGTTCATTTTTATAGAATTTCAGCTAAAAATAAAAAGTCTATTTTTTATCTTATATTCACTATCAACTTCCTATAATTTGAGAATCTTTCACTGTACACATTGTTATCAATTGTTATCATTGAAATCAATGGTTATATACAGTGTTATTGAAGTACATAGTATTGAAAATGACTTGCTAATAATATATAATGATTTTAAAAAAGAGTAAAATTGTGTGCAGATTTTGGTAATCAGACATCATCTATTTTATTTAATTTGGTAGTGTAAAGGTAATCATGTATAAAATCAACAGTCTTGCAGTAGTAAGTTATCACACAGTGATTTATATCCATATTGTTATTGTAGTAGTTATTGTCTTGGTATCTTTCAGCACAAGTGAATCAGAATAGTATATCAAACAGCGCCACAGACAAGCCAAGTGAAAACACAAAAATTGAATGGCCAAAAATGGCGACAGTTGATCCCGACACTAAACCAGAGCAGGCTGCCACAAAGGCCGCTAATGGGATCATAGTGGATGGACAGGACAAAGATGCTTGGCCGGCAATTGGAGAAGCAACGGATAGCCAAGTAGCCGGAGACAAACTTGCCAACAGTACAAATATTCAGAGTGGAAACATGGGAACCGGGAATAATTTGGATGTGATCGCGAGTGGAGGGAATGGGAATGGGAATAGTGGCAGTGGTCTGCCAAACTGTACAAGTCAACAGCAGCTCCAGCCACAGCAGTCGAGTGCAAACGCAACAAATTGCATGTGGAGTCAGGGAGGGGGGAGTAGCATGGTAGGTGGTGGAGCCAACTGGAGTACCACTGCTTCAGCAAGTGGTGTCACACAAACAACACAGTTTCATCAGGGCCCTTTCCAATCTGGTGCTCCTCAAAGTATGAACAATGCCAACAATTGCAACTTAACTCCTAATTCTGGATGGGGGAACCCCAACTTTGGGGATGGTAATGGTAACGGAGGCAATGGTGAATGGCCTAAAACTGGCCTGAACAATAATCAAAATAATGGGCCGAACAATGAGAATGGAAATGGAGTCGCGAGACAGAATAATGGACAGCCAGTTAGCATGAATCAGCAGATGCCTCCGAGCTCTGCTGGAGGGGCATCCATAAACTCTGGCTTTAACTCTGGTGCTAATATTCCTGGCATGAATGCCAACAATCAGCAGTGGAATATGCCTCCTGGATTTAACTCTGGAAACCAAGCAGGATGGAATAATAATAGCTGCAAACCTGATGGAGGCAATGGTAGAAGTGACAATGGTAATGGTGGAGATGGTGTTGGTAATGCCGGTGGTGGTAATGCCTGGCAAAACTCTGGTAAGTTGTGTCCATAATGTCATCTTGTGGTTTATCCTATGTAAATGACCATGTAAGGCTTGCCATCCAAAAACCACAAAATGAAAATTACCAAACTATATTCTTAATCTACACATGATAAGCTTTAACATGATGGGTCATTTATTACAATTGACTTGCTATTGCCAAAGTTATGAGTAAAAATATTATAGCTTCTCTGTACTAAAGTATACAATACTAACTATTATTACTATTATTAATTAATTATTATTATTATTATTATTATTATTATTATTAGCCACAGTATGCTGGTTTTGGAATGACAAGCCTCATATAGTTTTATTACAGATGTATATTTCTCTGAAAAATGCAAAATATCAAAAATAGATTATTATGATTCTTTTGTCATTATCAGGGGACAATACATCTTTAACAGTTAATAAGGATTAGTTGCAGTTTTTATTTATACCACTGACATAAATGCCTTGATATATGTGTAGACATGTCATGTGATGTTATTGTATTTGTATCCAAGTTCTCAAGCACCTGTGACATGTTGAAATTGGCTTTATTGTGGTAGTAGCACAGTGACTACTGAAATGTAACAAGATTCTATAGTGTCTCCCACACAATAACGACGATGTTGTAATTTACTGTAAATAAATGTTAACAATAGGCTTTTGTGTGTTATTTGGATTATAACCTTTTAGAGCACTTAGCGTATTATAATTTAAGTTGGTTTTTTTTTTCTTCTTTTTTAGGGTCATCGTGGAATACACGATCAAATTCCCAGAACATGCCAGGATCAAATAATTGGGGTGCTCCCAACTCCAATTTTGACAATATTGGGGGAAGTGGCAATAATTCCTCAGGATGGGGCTCTGCCCCTAACCCACAGGGTCCACCCACATCTGCTGCTGGCAGTCGGGTGCAAGGGTGGGGGGACAATTCCAGCCAACATTCTATGGGATGGAATAATTCCAGTATAACTTCAAATCCTAACTCCAGTGGAAATAATTCATCTGGCTGGGGTAATAACAGCCCAAATACCAGTGGGCCATGGGGTGGTCAGAGTGCTGTAACCACCCCTACTTCAAATCCAGGCTCTCAGCCACTAACAGATTCCAATTCGGGACAGGGTAATTATTCAGGAGGATGGGGCAATAACTCGAAACCAACCCAACAATGGGGAAATCAAAACCCAAATGGTCAGGGATGGAACAACTCCAGAGGGGGTGGGTCTGGCTGGGGAAATCCTGGTCCTAACAAAGAACCCAACCCCCAACAATCCAGTGCTGGGGATAGTCAAGGAACGGGATGGGGACAGCCAAGGAACACGCCTCCAAGTGTGGATTCCGGTGCAAACAACTCTTGGGGTAATACCCCAAAAATGAGTCAGGCTGTCCAGCAACGTGTCAACTCCAATGACGGATGGGGTAAGACCCCCATTAAGCAAAATGTTCGCTGGGAAGCTGCCGGTACCGCTAGCAATTCAGGATCCGGATGGAAAGATGCTGGCCAGCCTCCACATACTCCAACTGCATGGGGTGGTGATAATAAACCAGCTTGGGGAAATGCAGACAACAAATCAGGATGGGGACAACAGGGTGGTGGACAACAGCAGCAGCAGCAGCAACAACAGCAGCAGCAGCAGCAGCAACAACAACAACAACAACAGCAGCAGCAGCAGCAGCAACAACAGCAACAAGGACCACAAGCATCAACATGGGGGAGTACTAATGTATCCTCTCAACCATCTACACCTTCTGCTTGGAGCAAGCCTCCAGCCACATCTGGAAATTCACAGTGGGGAGCACAGCCACCAAATAAAAACTCTTCTCAGTGGGGCAACTCATCTGGTGGTGGTATCTCTCAGTGGAACAATCCCAACACACAGCAGTCATCATCCCAGTGGAACAATCAGCAAAGAGGACAACAACCAAGACCCGGGAATGGTAATCCTAGTCCCAATCCCGGCCCAAGGGGTGGCAATGGTGGTGGTACTGCTACACCTGGAAATCCAACAAATAAGCCAATTGGAGGAGCCTGGGGCTCCTGGGGCAATGATCCTCAAAGCCAAACCGGAGCCACAGGCGGTGCTTCCGGAACTGCTGCTCTTCCAGAGAAAACATACGGATCCGGATGGAAAGGACCCACACCAAACGTCACTGTGCCTAAAACAGCAACTGGATGGGGCGATCCAACTCCACCAAAGCAAAGCAAAGTAGATGATGGAACTTACATTTGGGGAGACCCTACTCAACACAACATGAACATGTCGGCAATCAACCGCAAGAATGCTCTTCGCCGAGGGAGTACAAGCCAGCCAAACAGTACTATGCAATCTCAACAATTTGTAAGTGCCCCACCTGGCCCACCGGGCACGCCAGTACAACCGAATGCACCACAAGGTGGTTTTAATGCCCCGAAGCCAGATGCAGGACCAAGCCGAGGTGACTGGGGTGCTGCCCCTCAGAAACCTGGATGGGGTAGTGGTGGTAACAAAATGACAGAGGGAGGATCTTCTTCTTGGGGGCACCCACCTGGGCAACAGTCCAAAGGCCCAGGATGGGGTAACCCACAGGGTACTGGATCTGATTGGGGAAACTCTGGAGGAAGTAATGCTGGCAGTACTTTCAAGGAACCTATGCAAACAGGCTGGGGAGGTAGTGGAAACGGAGAAGAAGCATCTGGACAAAGTAAGTTTGATATTAATGATCATGTTACTTTGGCTGATTGCATCCAATACTGTAGTAGCACCATTTTTATAATTTTTTTAGTTTGTAACTTGGTCTTTACTTTTTTATGTAGCTGGCAACATTGGCAGCATGTGGGGAGGTGCTGCTGCCGGTAGTCGTGGAGATGAAGAGTGGGAAACACACTCCCAGGGTAGTGAAGCCTCAGTTGGAAGTGGAGGACATCGTCACATGTGGAATAAAGTAAGTAAACTACTTATACAATGCTTTCCTTGTGTAAATTCATTCTTGATAATGGTAGTATAAAGGCCAATTTTTTTTCAAACTTGTGAAATACAAGATGATAATAAGATTACTATTTGCATATTATACATGAATGAATGTCCTAATTGATTTTATAAGTCAGTTATGACGACATTATTATGATTACGTTACTGTAGCTATGAACTGTACTTTATAAGCTCAAGGAAGAGATGCATTATAAATGTACAACCATGCACTAATTTTTCATTAGTGCATATTTTGCTTGACCTTTTATTTTTTGTTCATGTGCAAATATTATTTAATAAAACTGATCACCAGAACACCTGGTAAATATGAAGATAATTTAGTTTTTAGTGTAACACCTTAAACAATTCATGATATCTTTACAATAGTTGCACAATTATTACATGCTGTAATATTAAAAAGTGATCATACAATAAGTAAATCCTTGCTGAGGCCATAGGGCCTCGGAAAGCCTTCATTTTATTATATATATATATATATATATATATATATATACAGTATTCACAAAACAGCAATATCGTAATATGCAACTTTAATTTTCATTTCGTGCAGCAAAAGGAATCCAAAATTAAACAACTTATGGAAATGGGACTAAAGCGAGAGGAAGCTGAAATGCACTTGAAAACCAATAGCACTGATATTAATGCTGCCATGCGTAAGTACTAATTTTGCAACATTAAGAAGCTTTAGGTTGCATGATAATTTTAAGTCCATTGTTGGGTGGCTGTGGGCCCACGGTGGCTTAAAGTAATGACATCACAGATTTTCCTGCTCATGTGTGCCTACAAAATGTTGTTTTTAACCTTTCATTTCTTGTGAATGTATTATAACTTTGATGTACTAAGTTATTACATTGTAAATTCATGTTCTAATAATTTTTAAAAATTATTATTTAAGGGGAACTGAGCAGCAAAATGCCAAACCAAATTGACGGAACATCCAGCAATAATATTGACCTAGATCTGACCAAAGACTTCAGCCAGATGATGCTAAATGAAAAGAGTATCAATGACCCCAAATTTGTAGGGGGAAACGAGAATCCACCGGTACAACCCACCTCATCTTTCAATCCGTCCCGTCCTATGACTTCGCCAATGATGCCAAACGCACAAGGTGGAGTCAGTAAAGGGTTCAACCAAAGTAACATGTCACCAAACTACGGAATGCCGCAGCCTCGTGGCCAGCAACACCAACAACAACAAGGATTCCAGCAGCTACCGAGCAAACAGCCACGGCCACCTCTCAATACACAACAGATCTTACAGCTTGCTGTGCAAGCTGGCTTGATCAACCAGAGCCTTCTTAATCAGCACCTCACACACCAGCAATTGATGACCGTCTTCCAGTTGATTCAGCAACGCTACGGCCAGCTTGTCCAACAGCAGATGATTCAGGGTCAGAACAGAGCTGGAATTGGTGTCAATCCAACATCTCGCCAACAGCAGGAGCTACTCGCCCGCCTTAACGTAGTCCAGCAACAACTCATACAACAGCAGCTGCAACAACAGCAGCAGCAACGGGTATCCAACAAGTACAGTCGCAACAAGTTGGCAAGCGACTCTGACGTATTCACTTCTTCAGACAGCGATCTTGGACCTTCACAATCTCGTTCTCGCTTCAAAGATTTCTTTTCAAAAAACAATGAGTCAAATTTTGGTTTGTTGCCTGCAGGCTCTGACAACCAAAGTGAAAGCAGCTGGTCTCACAGCAAATCACCCACACCACCAGAAAGCCTTCCTCAAAGTGCTGATTCAACCATCTCTGACCCAACTTGGAGCTTTCCTGAACCTGGCCCAGATATTCCTGATTTTGGACCTCCAGAATTTAAACCTGGTGTTCCATGGAAGCCGCGTACAAAAGATGTGGAGAATGATCCTGATGCTACACCAGGAAGTGTCAATGGAAGTCTTTTCAGTAGCAGCATTAGTAGCATAGGATCAAAGACTCCAGGCCGTGGAAGGGAAACTGATATTTCTGGCATTCTCACCAAACCTATGCAGCCAAATTTAAGCAGTGGCTGGTCTGGAACTGGAGCAGCAGGCAACACAGCAGCCTGGAGTGCAGTAAATCCCTCCACTAAACGTCCACCAGTATGGAGTGGAGGCAGTTACGATGAACAGCAGGTTTATCCACCAACCGCCCTCACCAACCAACTTTGGAATGTGCCTTTGACTAGAAACAACACTTTGTCCCGTCCTCCTCCAGGTTATGGAGGTGGCAATGTTAACCGAAGCACATCCTGGCCTGCGGGTGGATCTCGTTCTTGGGAAACTGGAAATCGTGGTGCTGGTGGTAGCAGTGGTGGAGGTAGGTTGTAATTTTTAAATCTTTTAGCAGCAAACATTAATTTATTAATCTATATTGTTATTACTGTACTTTCATTAAAAACAAATCTCTACTAAAAACATTGGATAACACTTTAAATTTATGAATTCACTAATATTTTTTTGAACTAATATTTTTTACCAATTCGATAATTTGATAATTCATTCAAATCTTACTGATTAATGTAATTTGTAGAGCATCCACTCACCATAAACTCTGTGCATTCAAGTTTCAAAATTGTTGGCATGTGTTTGATTATTTTCTGTGGAGAATTATTAACAATATTGTTTATGAAAGCTGTGTTAATATTTAATCTCTTGTAGCCCAACCACATCAAAAAGGAATGTTCAAAGTATACATAATTAGCATTTCCTATATGAAATTCTTACATAAATAAAGCCCTGTCCAGTCTATCAAATTTTCTTCAACGAAAAACTGTTGTATGCCCATATATAGTCATGATGTGCCTGTATATGGTCATGATGTGATGTCATCATGACCATATTTAGGTATGTTTGGTAGTGTGCACAGGACTTAAAGGGGAATCATTTTTCATTCTAGGCTGGTCATCAGGCAACAACTTTGGTGCAAGCAGTCATTGCCTTATTTTGAAGAATATTAACCAAGATGTAAGTGCCTTCATCCAATCACATATAGCAATGTACCTAATTTACATATTATCAATAGAATAGACCAATCAGTGTCCTGGATTATGTGACAGTATTCTTAGGAAAGACCATGCAAATGATTTAAATGAATTAATTTATCAACAACTTGTGAATTGGCACAGTTTGGTGTGTTTTACTATTGCAACCAATAGGTTTTTTGTTTTTTTTACAAAATAAAAAACAGTAATACTGCATTTATTTTATTTATTTAGGTTTTTTTGGTAATAATGCTTTTATTGGAATAATGATTTTCTTTTATATTTACTGGAATTCTGGATTAAACCATGAAATTCCATTCATACATATTTCATTTAACTTATAAATATGCGATTTTATCACATCTCTTTTATATAACTATTTTCAACTATTTATGAATTCTTGAGAGAAAATTCACCAAGTAATCAACCTATATATTTTTTAGGGAAATTATTATAAAAAAATAAAATTCAAAGTACTCAAAAGTAATGTAATGAGGTAAGGATTTCAATAAATGCAATTAATAAACAAATGTTTTTAATCAGCAGATGGAGAGTCTGTCGAAGTTGTGTGTCCAATTTGGGCAGATGGACATGTTCCAGGTGAACCCACAGCAACGCGCTGTAATGGTGCGTTATCGCAAACCGGAAGAGGCTTTACGCGCTCAGCGAGGGCTTCTCAGTGCCAATATTAGCGTCACCTTGGCTTTCGATGATTCTGCAGGGCCTATGAATACTGCTCCGGCCCAGCTGAAGACGGGGGGATTTACTGGCAACCAGTGGAGTGTTCCTTCCCAAGGTATTAATTCCAGCTTTGGTGGCAGCCAGATGTGGTCCAACGGTGGCGGCGGAGGGGGAAACTGGGCGACTGGTGGACTTGACTCAGACCCTACTATGGGTTTTCTACCTAATGATTTACTAGCTGATGGTATGGGATCAACTATATAAAGTTAGATAAAATTTTTGACTACCTTTGTTTGATATGGAAATATTATATTACATAGCGTTGTTTTATTTTTATTTGAGTGATTATGATAGAGTGTATGTTTTTGACGGGTGTGTGTACCAGCCGTGGCAGACACTAGAAACGCCTTGCTGAGGGACTTATGTGAACCTTTTGACCGATTGGTTTTTTTTTTTTTCGGTCTTTTCATGGAGTGCTGGAAAATAGCAATGTGCAATTGTTGGAGATTCTGGTTTTGAAGAATACAGCAGATACACCTTACGAAAGATAACTTCTCTTTTTAAAGGGTTTTTCCTTTTTTTACAATTAGATAAGAAGTTTATTGTTATAAGAAAAAAAAAATTAAAAGACTGAAAAAAAAAACAACAAACACAATGAAATGCCACGAAAGATTGTCTCGTGCTTTAAGTAGTTTAGACTCGGTGCTATTATTGCTGAATGCTTAACATGAAGAAATGGATTCATGTGAAACTGCTCTTTGTCTCAAGATAGACAAGTCAGTTGTTTTAGAATAAGTTGTTTTGATATCGAAAATATGTATTTGCATGACTATAACGTTTTTATCGTTTTCAATCGGTGTGATATGTTTTTATTCTTTTTGGACAGTAACATTATCTTAGGTCAGGTCACATAATTAATGTTTCTTAAAGCCTGAATTATATCTATTAAGATGTTTAAATTATTAATTTGTTTTTATTTAATTACTTTCTATCTTTATTGCCAGCGTGTACAATTATGTTTGTTTTGGAATTATTTTTGGAAGTGCAATTTTTCAAGCTGAGTAAGTTAAAGTGGAGTGCACATATTCTTCCACAGTTTACTTGCGATTTTTTCCATTGAACTTGTGTTGCCTGGCTGATGGACTCTCATATGAACCAAGTTAAGTTTGTGTCTTTCACGAAAGAAAACCTAAAGAAAGATATAAATTAAAAAAAGTAAAAAAATAAAAAAAAATGAATTGATAATTAAGATAACCAAACCATTATCAAACTTGTATTTTGGATAAAATGTATAGTATTCTCTCACCAAGGACTCCTTTATATAATGATGGTGTTGATAGTTTTAGATAGGTTGTACTACCGCACCTGTACGTTTTTGTGTTTGTTTTACTCATTTTCAAGATGTGCCTATATAATGATCAGTTTTTTTTAGTGCAAACTTGACAATAATTATGTCCAGATAGATAAAGATATGGAGATGTCTCCATCTAATGTTCCATACTGTTACTATGTATGCAAATTTTTTGAAGTCAATGAATTCATGCAAACAACTTTATGTGCTTACAATTTATTCCAAAATTTAGTGTGCAAATTTGAATGTAGTGGTAAGTTTTAAGAAAACCAAGATGTCCTAGCTAGCCTTGATTTGATTGCCACCTCCATTTGAAAAAAATGAAAATATATAAAGAAAAAAAAAAGGGGGTGGTTTAATCTATTTGAAAAAGGGGGTGTACATATTTAAAATAATGGGATGAGTTAAGAACATGTCTTCAGCATTGTATAAGTTGATAGTTCGTGTTTCTACGTTTGAAGTCACAAATTATGCTCAGGTTGCTTCCGACTTGCTCTTGCAGCTGAACACTGCTTTCCGAGTTTACCGATGATGACGACGACGATGACGATGACATTGATAAAATAATCACCTTTGTCAAATAAAGTTTAGGTTTACATGGTGCACTTGCATGCTTCTGGGAGATTGAGAACAAAAAACAAAAAAATAAAAACTGAAAATATAAAAAAAAATATTAAAAAGTGTAAAAAATATATAAAAAATATATACAGAAGTGCAAGAAGTTAAAAAGTATTTCTATGGGATTACGGGTCAGGGTTTCATGGGTTGGGGGTTGGGGACGACTACCCACGTAGTCACACTCAATGATATTTGCCAATGGGAATAGGGGTGGGATGGGTTGGGAAAAAAATATTAAAAACTCCCTCCCAGTAGCAAGCAAGAATATAACCTCTTTCATATATAATATATATATAATATATAATATATATGTCCGGTTAATAGAAGTACCTAAAGCACAGAATGAGGGTGGTTAAATGCTGCTGTTTAAGTACTATATCAGCTAGAATGAAAAGGGTATTGATGTAATGGCTGTGATTAGAAAGCTATTTGTTGGGGAGTTTGTTCTTAATATTAAAAAGCCAGAAAAAAAAAAAGAATCTGCAAATGAACGAATCTGAAATGTCTGCTGTTATGTATCTTTTCCATAGTTGTAGTGTTATGTTCATGTAAGGCAGTGATTTTTATTTAATACACACAAGTTAATAATTGTGTTTTTGCTACTCAAAGAGTATTATTAAAGACCAATGGTCATTATATTTGCTAACTTAGAAATTTAATTAAAAAACATCCCACATAATATTGTGGTTTTTTTAAAATAAAGAAATACAGAATAATTATTATTGTATTATTATTCAACACTAATATATATTATGTGATTTGTTGGGGTTTTCTTTCTTATCTCTGATTCAATGTACAGTACTCCCATATAATTGTTTACTTACATGTTAATTAATGATTCCGTTATTAATGGGCAATTTATATGCCACACAATTGTGGCTGTATGTAGCTATGTAATTCAAACTTATGCAAGGTTCTGATTGTGTTGTATATTTGTTGCGTAGCACTGACTTTTAATAAGAGAGCTCTAATAGTTGGCTAAAGTTTTTGATATATCATTGATATTAATATTATTATTATTATTACAAATTAAGTTAGAATTTAACTTATCCAACACTCTTTATGGGTAATTTTCATTGTGTGCAAACTGTGTTTATGTTGTGAAGGAATTAAAAAAAAAACCTTTTAAGAATTAAAGAAAACTTTTGAAAAAAAAGAGAGGAAAAGAAAAATTGTTACCTAGTACAGTGTTAAATCTGAAGTCGTTTCACCCACTTACAAAGAAGTTTAAAGAATGCCAAAGATGTAGGCTCTATCTAAGTTCACACACGATGTAGTGTTAACCTGCCAATGTTAGAACATAACATTTTATTTCATTGGAATAATTTTTGTTTATCTTAAGACATGTAATTATCACAAGCATTGTTTTTTTTCAAAAGGTTTATTTGTTACTAAACATTTAAAATATAAAAATAAGATGATTTATTGGTAGGTTCGTTTTGAACTCTAACCTCTTTATACTTAAGTGGCATTGTTTTTGGTACTGTAGTGTTGACAAAAAATAATCATTGCAAAAACAGTAGGGTTAATTCCGAGGACAGGACCAATTGTCATAATCAACGTTGATGTTGTTTGTTGTTGTTTGTTGTTGAAATAGAAGAGAAGTATCATACCATCAGTAGAGCAATTGTAGTGCTTAATCAAAATTCTTCCTTCCTAATTGTTTGAATGTATTTTAATTAAGGAGTATAGTTTAAGGGGACAAGTGGTGATAATATAAGAGAGGTATTCATATAGTAGTTAAGATTTCTCAAGAATGTGTATACCGTACTAGAAAACCACCTATATGGTGAAAGTAATCTAAGAGATTGTATCTGACATACTGTAGCCAATGAACTGTGAAATATTGAATTCGTATCAACAATCGTTTTCTTTAAGAACGCAAAGATTTTACAATATAGTTTTTGACATAGCTGATTTATTGGGACATTATAAAAAGTAACATAAAATTTGTAAAAAGACAAAAAAAAAATATACCATTTGCAATCATGGTTAGATAATAGAATGATATAGATTTAACCAAGCAATGGGTTTGTCTTGGCTTTAGTCAAGTTTTTGGTTTATCTTATCTTCCATATTCAGCAAGTATTAATAATAAGTAAATATTAAGTGTGTGAATAAGGAGCATAATGTGATGTGGTTTGAATACTTCACTGGTCAGACGTTTCTACTAAGCAATTAACTCGTAATGAAAAAAATAAAACAAAACAATAGTTGACTACCTTAAATATACAAAGCTTTTATTGTGTGTGTAAGATCTTTGTTTATGTGTTCGCTGTACTACTTAGCAAGCAATGTTAGTGATACTATAACCATGAAAACAGCTTAACAAGGAGGATTAAACGGAATATCTGGTGTTAGTGCCTTCAAATGGTGTCCATATTTGTTTTTTATTTGTATTAATTACTGCAATTCACTTTTCTTTCACCAGGGGTTGTGCCAGGATTTGCATTGCCAAACAGGGTCTGATGTCCTCGAGTGGGCTGCTCACAACCACTGAAATGGGGAAAGCTGTTTAACTATGTAAGTCTCCCCAACGATGTGTTGGTTTTCTCTCCCCAACCTGGTGCCACCCTTGCGTTTCACTAAATTTGTACTTCAAAATAATATATAAACACAGCTACAGACATTATACACTCACATTTCTCCGACTGCCACTAATACTGTATTAAGAATACAAGAGAATATCTTTAGTTTGCAAAGGAAATAAAAACGTAATCATGATATATAATAGTAATTAGTTAAAAATATTAAATGTGAAAATCGGAATCGTACAAAATACAACATTAAACAAACATTATATCCTAACAATACGATGACATTGAATATGCCTATTGCGCTGATCAGTAGAACACCGGGTGGGTAGCAGAACAGGACATCTTGAAAACGTGAGCAGGAAGAGGATCTAATTGACAAAAATTAAATGAAGAGGAGTTTATTATTGTGAGAACATCGTCTTCAGATATGGTTCTGAAATTGTGAAAGGCAGTTTCAGGATAGTCAGACATGTATCTTGAACTCCAACTAAAAAAAGTGGTTTCAACCACTTTTATCGGGCGGACTTTGGGTGGGTTGGGTGGAGGGGGTGGTAGACTTTTGATTGATTATTGATTGCTCAAAATGCCTCAGAGGTTATTTCCGAGCGTAGCTAGAAAACAAAACTTTCCCGCACCCCCGATTGATTTTTGAAAACTGCCTCGTTTACAGTCAGTCTCGACTTCAACCACTAAGTCTTTTTAGTTCCTGTTTCGTTTATTTTTATACCTCCCTGGTTATATAAAGATCATGACCATACCATGGAGCATACGACCGGAATGTAACTTTACGAGTGGTGAGGGGGCGGGTGCATGATGAATAACAGTTGTATCAAGAAAATAGCATTGAAATCTTTAACGGAAATTTCAAGGTCAGTGTTCAAAGACATTGACTGCAATGATGACAACTACAGAAATCATTTTCATCAATGGTTTTAATGTTCAGTGTTTAGTTCTCTCCAATGAGATAATTTATTCAGTATATCCTTGTCTCTAGCCCCTACAAAACAATACAATTAATATTAGTTTCCATGAACATTTGTCGTTTTCTATACACAGTACACAATACATTTTGAGAGTAATATTGTAGTGTTTTTGTCTTCCGATTTGAGTAATGACCTATAACACGTTTGAGACGTGGTGTGGAATGTATCGATCTCTATACCCATGCTACTACTCCGAATAAAGAGAGGGAGGCCATGATTCAACGTTTCGACCTTTATTGGGTCATCATCATGGAAATTTAAAATAAAATGAAAAAAAAATTCCTCACTTTTGCAAACTTTGCATATGCGTTCCTGGCGAGGAATAATTTACCTTTTCTGCTTCTAAATTTAGAACACTAAGCTTAGAGAGCATAAGCTTGCGTTATGGTTTATTTTAAAAATGTCTACATAATTTTCAAATTGTAAATTCCAGATATAAGTGTAAAGTTCGGATACTCCCCAATTTGTAAGCATTTTGTTCTCATACGTCATTGAAGTTGCCGGATAGCTTGTGTTACTAATTCTTGTAACAACACGGTTCGACTAAAGTCATAAGGATAGAATCACTGTAAAATTTCATTTAGAACTAGGCCTACCACACATTTCGGACTCAGCATCAGAAACGTTCTCTCACTACACTTTCCAATGGCATTTAAAATTTCATCAATAAACAAGTTTTAAGATTTAATCATAGAAGCGTGCCTATAGAATTTGTTTGAAATGTTGGTATCCCTAACCCCCTCCCCTAACGAAAAATCGTGGACCCGTCCCTAAGAAGGCAGGCCTATATGGAGCTTATTGTTTACATCAATTGCCTATCATATTCAAAATTTTCCGTCTTTATATTAATAAAAAGAAAAATTCCGATGGCGTTTCTTTTTTTAAATTCTCATATGGGATCGCTTAGCATAAGTATCGACCATAAGACGGAATTCACAAGCTAATGCCCAGGTGGTATCAAACAACACAGGAGACCTTGAATAAATTTGAATAAATTTTGTGCGAATGTTTCTTTTAGACTGAGCTTCCTATTTTGAATAAACACAGGTAGAAAAAAACAATGCCTGTTATTCGTCTGTCAACAGAAAGAGATAACAGTGGGTGAGTACCTATAAATTGAATAATAGGCTAATATTAATAAACATAATGTATTAGCCAAAATAATGTACTGTTCTGTAAATAGTTTACTGGGACGAAGGTTAGACGACTGATCGAGTATTACGTCTTGGCAATTATAGTCTTAACATCTTAAGGCCTACTATCTGATAGCCTAAAACGCATGAATTAAGTCAATATAAGAAACACGCATTAACATCATGCAATAGACTTTATCTGAAACGAGAGACGAGTGCGAGTGCAACGCTGTGTATTTTCGGTATACAGTATCTATAATTAATGTGTTTAGGAAGGGGTATAAATTACTCTACTCCCCCATACCAACTATGGTATGAATTTTCAACCATAGATATTCCTGCATCTAGTCGGTTATATTGCTCGTCTTGTATTTTAATCAGGTCATAAAAAATCAACGGGGAGGGAGGGGGGGGGGGGGGGGAAAGTGGTGGGTAGAACCCTCGTAGATTCCCTTTCCCCTGTCAGGGAGCTGAACACAATTCGCTCCTGGCTCCGGTTGCTAGGCGACCCTTTAACCCCGCTTTTGACGGTGACGGACCCTTTCCGGGTGATACTTTAGACTGATGGAATAAAAGGTTTTCAGATGCACACTTGTTTAATTATGTCGATTATTATATATGAAATGTGACGGAACCACAGGTAAGTTACTAAAGCAGCAAGACATCACTTCGAGCATCCAAGTATCAAACCACCATAGGATAGTTTGTTGTGTCAAAACTATCATAAGCCCTGTTTCGTACACATCGCTCCAATGTCGGACAGTGTTTTCGGTGCAATATTATGTACTGCGCAGTTCTCGACGCAATCACGGAAAGCTGTCGGCGATAGCATGTAGCGATTGTATGGAAACCAAGCATTACTAACATCGTACCCATCTTGTAAACCACTTAATTTAAATTTCATAGTATTTTTATTATTTTATTTTATTCGTGCCAATAGTTGGACAGGTCAGTAGCCTAGTAATGGTACCAGGTAGCATACTTGATGGCACTGTGCTGTGTAGATTGCAATTAATAATAATAATAATAACTTTATTGAATCGTACACTTTTATATCAGTGGCACACACTATCAAGTGGTCCGTTCACAATAAAAACATTCAAACAATACAGAACATTAAAACCGTTACACAAAAGCACAGTATAGTAAGAAACACGTAGGTCTACAATACAATTAAAACAGTAAAATGACAATTATGTAAGTTCAAGTTAGCATTGAAAAGAGCATTAAAATAATAAAATTTCAAATTATGGCAGAAAAATGTTTGAATTATTCTGTTGGTATAAAGTTTGTAATGAACGTTTACATTGGCGGTTCCAGAATATTTTAGCGGGGGTGTTATGACAATTTAAGGGTTTTAAAGGCTTATTTAATCGATTTTAGAGTCTACTAATGTTAAAAAAAAATATATATATATATCACTTTTTCTCCCTGACGAATAATGTTTTTCTCAACGATGGGGGGGGGGGGGGGGGAGATCAGCTCTACCTGACGGTATCCCCGGCGCCACCCCAGGCCTATCTGAAATTGCAGGAAAGGCAAAAATAATAACATACTCCAAATAAATACATGCTACAGTGTTCTATATTTGGATCATTTATTTAGTCCATAGAAAACCTCGGCAAGATGCTTCAGGTATAATGGAATATATACATTAAATATATCAAATAGTTGTACCAGACCTCACACCAGCATTTCCTTGTAGACAAATTTGTGATATACATGAGAAAGTTTCAAAATATTGGAAGCGGGGGGGGGGGGAAAGTGGTGGGTAGAACCCTCGTAGATTCCCTTTCCCCTGTCAGGGAGCTGAACACAATTCGCTCCTGGCTCCGGTTGCTAGGCGACCCTTTAACCCCGCTTTTGACGGTGACGGACCCTTTCCGGGTGATACTTTAGACTGATGGAATAAAAGGTTTTCAGATGCACACTTGTTTAATTATGTCGATTATTATATATGAAATGTGACGGAACCACAGGTAAGTTACTAAAGCAGCAAGACATCACTTCGAGCATCCAAGTATCAAACCACCATAGGATAGTTTGTTGTGTCAAAACTATCATAAGCCCTGTTTCGTACACATCACTCCAATGTCGGTACAGTGTTTTCGGTGCAATATTATGTACTGCGCAGTTCTCGACGCAATCACGGAAAGCTGTCGGCGATAGCATGTAGCGATTGTATGGAAACCAAGCTTTACTAACATCGTACCCATCTTGTAAACCACTTAATTTAAATTTCATAGTATTTTTATTATTTTATTTTATTCGTGCCAATTGTTGGACAGGTCAGTAGCCTAGTAATGGTACCAGGTAGCATACTTAAATTGCAGGAAAGGCAAAAATAATAACATACTCCAAATAAATACATGCTACAGTGTTCTATATTTGGATCATTTATTTAGTCCATAGAAAACCTCGGCAAGATGCTTCAGGTATAATGGAATATATACATTAAATATATCAAATAGTTGTACCAGACCTCACACCAGCATTTCCTTGTAGACAAATTTGTGATATACATGAGAAAGTTTCAAAATATTTAAATAAATTAATTTCATTATAATTATAATGCAGGAATTAAAAAAAAAACCTCAATAAACATAGCTTAATTGTGGATATAAAAAGGCAGATTTCAACAACATGATTATGAAATTATATTCCACAAATATGGAATGTTCATGGTGAGTGCTTACAGAGTAGGCTTTTGAAATGAGATTTGTCTAAGCTAAAGATTGGTCATTAAATACTATCTTATATAATACATATATACATCAGTGGCGTATCTAGAAGTCTTAAAGTGGGGGGCTTAGTGATCAGTTTTGCTAAACTCTCAAAATAATGTGATTTTTTTTTGGGAAGGGGGTGCGAGGCGAGTCATTTTTGGAGGGGCATGCACACCCCATGGATACGCCACTGACATTACATACATCCATATGCATGTAGCAAACACATTGAGACAATATTTAAGTTGCTCTCCTGTTAGAACTAGACTGCATCACACCATGACCAAATATAGGCACATCATTACCATATATGGGCATACAACAGAAAATTGGATAGTGTGGACAGAGCTTTATACACATTTGATTTCTGCCTGCAAATCTCAACGTTTGATTTGATGCCCAAATAAGGGCATAAATTGTGCCGAACATCAATGCGACTCTGCACTATACTTGCACACTAAAAATGCCAGTAGGACATTGCATGGGCAAAGGTTCGTCTGTGCTACTTCATTGGGTACCACAACACATGGTACGTGTAAAGGATAGTTTCAACTCACAGAGCGCAGGGATGGATTTGCCGGAAAACGGTCAGACCCAGCATGTGCCTACTATAGTCCAAACATTACATGTTGAGAATGACAATACAAATATTTAATTTGTACAATACAAATATCTGATACTGCCTTTACTAAAAATATAATAGATATATAAAAATACTCTTTCACATGCTTCTGTGTTATCAAATTTACAATAAACTTTAATTAGAGTCAGCACCTACCGAGTAGACAGTTTGTAATCAGTTTATCAAAACCAATTTAATAACTGAAACAAAAATTGTGTAGACTCTCATAAAATGTTGTCTAGCTTTAGTAAGTACTTATTCATATAGGAACACTACTGTGACACATCTATTGCACAGAAAATAATATATTTTGTAAACAAAACTTCGTTGCCAAACATTTAAAATGAAACTCATGAATTTAGTTTAGTTTAGTTTTAGTATTAAAAACAGGCAGATATGTTCTGGGTTCCCTGGCCCCCTACCCATGATATTGGGAAGAGCAACCACTCCCAAATCATAGCATTAAAATCTATGTGACTAGGTAACATAAAGTAAATGATAATGTAAATTGCCACCGGTCTTACATTTATACTGGAATTTAATTAAGCACATAATTTAAGTACTTGAATGGACAGATTTTGAGATCAAAATATTCACTACGCCGTGTATTATATGATATTACAGCTCACTGAAATATTACACTACAGAGTATGGAACTTCATTTAAATCGTCAATGTTGTAGAAATCTGAGAAGATCCCCCAAATAATGATGAACTCTATGTTTCAGATTTTTTTAGTAATCCCTTTCACTGGTAAGGGATCATTTTGGAAAGTCGTCATCAGTTTGAAAAAGCAGAACAAGGAAATGAGAAGTAAAATGATTTCTATCGAGTGAATGTGAAATTGATTGCTCATTCACTTTTCAATTGCTCATTGCACATCCAAATTTTTCACGCAGTATTTCAAAATTCACCAATTAATAATCAAATCATCAGACTATATTTTAGCCTGACATGCAGAAACATGTTTAAAAATTGCTTAACATACTTATATACAATTGAAAATGGCTATAAAAATCAAACAATTAGTCAAAAATATATCATAGTATTTAAATAGTAAAGTTCAATTTTAGAAGATTAAATAATAGAGAAGACAATCAGCATTATACTCAGCAAAACATAGATTACTTATAGTATGACCCACTAGTAGTCTACCAAAATATTTTGGTGGAGCCAATTCTGTCTCTTAATATATGGCTTACCCTCCCAAAGCCAGCATCAGTGCCCGAAAATTTAATTGAAAATTGACTTTTTAATAATTCTTATTCTCCACATTATAAATGATGGGTCAATTAAATACTAGTATTGACTTATTATTAGTTATTAGTAAAAATATTACAGCTTCTCTGTTATTATGCTAATTACTCGGTTTAACAATTAGTGAGAGTACGCTGGTTTTGGTATGTAGACATAGACATATAGACTCTATGATAATTTGGAACATTTATTTTGTAAAACAACAATGACCCCCATCAATGTGCATAGTTTGTTGATCACTTGCCATGATACAGCAAAATACAATGCAGCTGTAATCATCAATGTAAACTATGATTTTGTCACAATATTTATTTTTGCTTATGCATTGTTTACTTATTTTAATCTACATTTAAAATCCCAAAATGGTGCACTAAAACAAGCTCTAGATAAGGGGTCAATATATATACAAATATTGACTGCTCTAGATTCGGGAAATGGTGAAATCTAATCTATCACCGTTCCCCGAATCTAGAGCAGTCAAAATTTGTTTTACATACATCATACATAGATTCTACGAGGCCTAAAAAAGTACTTACTTCCTAGCCTAGTATTAGAGGCCTAGCTAGGCCTAGGCCTACTCTACTACTTCTAGCTAGTCGATCAAAGAGTGTGTCTAGCTGTTCTTTGCTTATTTCCTCAATTTCAACAGCACCCATCGTCTTGCAATATTTGTTGAATTTTGACAAGACATATTTAATTTAATTTTTCTTTTGGTGCTTTTGCTATCGGCTTCAAGCAGTAATGGCAAAGGCCTAGGCTGGTCCTTCATCTCGAACCGACCAGCCTCCATATTTGTTTATCATTTACTCGCTGATCTGTGATGCGGTCAAGAGCCAATCTCGTCGTAGAGGTCGCAGTCCCCTTTACCGTCAGCAGCGCGATGTTAAGTTTGCCTAGATTTTGCACATCGCGATCGGTCTAAAAAGTACTATTTTTCAGGGGAATAGTACTTTTTATTGCCAGATTAGAATCTATGTATGAGGTATAGAATACATTATATAGATGCTCAGGAGTATCATTACAATAGCTTGTTAATACTATAGACATCTCAAAATCTATTAATCATAGTAGAGCTCCTTCATTACTTTTAACACCAGAGGGCAGTATATCCATACTCAGCTAAGTTCACTTGTTTTTAAGCACAGTCTGGTCCTCATCGATATTGCATTGCCATCACCCTCTCATGCACAGTTTGGTCACTGTCTAAATAGCATGTATGATGCTTCATTACTGTTAACCCTAGAGGGCAGTACAACCTACGTACCTAAAAGGAAACTTGTATTTAAGTATAGTCTGGTCCTCATCGACATTGCACTGTCGTGGCCCCAACATGGACAATTTGGTCTAAATAGAATGGATGATGCCATCGCACAGTGTGGTTCTCATCCGAATGGCATGGTCCTCTCACACACATTTTAGTCATTGTCTAAATAGCACGGATGCCATCGCACAGCGTGCCTCTCATCTGCATAGTGCGGTCCCTATAAGAACAACGTGGCCCGATCAGCTGCACGGCCCATTTATTTGACCTCCTAGGAAGTAGTATTTCTGGAAGATGCTCTCAAAGCGGCATATCTCCATTACACGGTACACGTGCAGGAGTAGTCGTGGGAATCGTGACGTAAAATACTGCACAAATTGGTCTGGTATGGTACCCAATGTCTCTTTTACCTCTTCAGGTAGTTCCCTGTAATGATGTTTCTGTCAACAATAAAGAAATAAGTATTATCTACAATTTGTAAAAACTCAATTGGTTTGAACAGCATCTATAATGTAGTGTCGTAATTATACATAAATGAGTAGGACCTACAAGTTAATATCAACAATTAAGTTATTGAAATATTAATCAATTATAATAGTTTGCCTTCCAATTCAAGACCACATTTGGGACCTGAATATTTGGGGTGGTCTCTGGGTTCGGTCTCCACATAGAGGGTTATTTTAGCATTAATAGATTGAAGATTGTAATTTGGTCCTCTGAATATGTGGTCTCAAATTAGAGGGGTCTCGAATTGGAGAGTGCACTGTAGCTGTAAATTCACAGGTACCATGTTACCTTATTTCGCATTGCACGTAGTAAATCCCGGATGGACGTCCCTTTATATGACCTGAACTTGCGAAGGTCTGTTTGTAATTCAACTGTTATATTCTGCCTCCAGTCACCTTTTAAAACTACTGATGTATTTGATTCGAGACAGACTAATAACGGGCAGTCAACAGATTCCTTTTCTATTCTATCACTAACATCCTGAAAAAAGAAATTTGTAAAATGAACGATTATGATATTAGCAATCAATGGGCGCATTAAAGAAGAACAAATTCATAATTGAACTGCGTATGCTCCTATGAAGGTCAAGCGAGATACACACAATTTATGTTTATGTTGACTGACCTTGGATATGGGCATGCACAATTCATAATACGAATTGGCTTATTAAAAAAGGAATAATGCAAGCTTAAAGTTATCAAACTTGAGGGGGCGCTGTTTTGAATATACACACCTGGAAGAATCTTAATTGTTTATCTTCACTCCAAAAGAATGGGTGTTGAAGAATGGCATTTGCTTGTGGCCTTTTACTGCACTCTGGATACACCATCTTACTAATGAGCTCCTTAGAAACATAGTCATCTAGAAGAAGGAAATGTCATATTTTAAAACCAAACAGGCAATTGTGTCTGGAGAAGCCAAATAGATCCAAAGGCCTTTCTACTATACTTGTGGAACCAGATAAAATTCTTTGAGAATTAAGTGAAGTTAGTCATGTAAAAAGTGTTTCACAGGACTCGAACCCAGAACTTACAGCTGTACTAGCATGTTCCTTCTCTACTCAATCACATTTCTTACCTGCATTTAGATGATCTAGATTGTAAGTGCCAGACAGAATGTTAGCTTGGCGATGTATAGACTCTCCAAACAGATGCTTTCCTTTGGAGAGGACATAATAGAAGACACAGCCTAGGGAGAATATATCTACTCTAGTTGTCTGCAAAATAAAAATCACATTTAATTATCTATCCATAACAAGGGGGGGTTTTCTTCCATTGTCATTGTGTGCACAATAGTATTTAGCATTATTTAGCTTTACCAATCCCAATAGAAGAGAAAACTTCTGGGAGGCATTGTTTATAGGATAACCATGCATGGTGCCAGTGGCTGAATATTTTGACTGACTATGAGCTGCAAAAGCTATTACTTAAGGGCTAAACAAAGAGTAAGACAAATTTGAAGATGGAACTTACAGTTCTATCGGTTCCAGTTAACATCTCTGGTGCTATCCAACCTTCTGTCCCAGCAACTCCTGACCTCCTTGAGAAGGAATGGCGACCGGCGGCTAGCTTCTTACAGAGACCAAAGTCTGAAATCATTGCTTTGATCTTTCCAAATTTATCTGGCATGGAAATTAGGACATTGTGTGGCTTCACATCACGATGCACTTGGAATAAAAATAAATAAAAAAGTACATTAGAATGGATCTGGATCAACGCCTTTAAAAGCAGCAAAGTGAGGAGGGGTGGTGGCACAGGTAGCTTCTGGACTATAGATGATTCTTCATATAATTAATTACAGCTGTCTTGAACTTTTCTTTATCATGTAATGTTGCAGGTTCCTTAGGGATTCAATTCCAGTCTCGTATATTCTCATTACGACAGAGAATCTGTAACAGTTATTTTGAGTGAACACCTCGGAATATGTAGTGTGTCCTGAGAAGTATATCATAGAGATTGACATCTGATAACTGCCTGGAAATGCAGGAAAGACATGACTGAACTTACCTATATTTAAAGAGTGGAGATGAGCTAGGCCAGATGTGGCTTGCTGGAGCAATTCTGTAGGGCTTAGCATCTCATACTTGCTCTGGTCTTTGACATAGTCTTGAACTGTGGCTGCACACAGCTCAAGGGCAATGTAACGAAACTGAAGATCTTCCTCCTGCATATATGGAAGGCAATTAAATGAATAAGTATGGAAGGCAAATACATAAATGAGTAATTAACCAGCATAAATTTAATTTAATTATTTTCATTCTTTAAGGTACGTCCTAGAATGTTGCACCTATCATCTGTATCATTTTGTCTGCATGAATATTTTCATTAAAAAGACGATTCATTGGGTCCGAGTCTCCACGTCGCCGTCACACGCAGTGAGTAACCACCTTTAAGTCACAAGAAAATATTCTGGTGTCACATGACTTGGTACACAGAAAGGCAAGCATTTTAACCCTCAAGGTACAGCCCATTCCTATGGAAATGTTGAACATACCATACAGAAGTATCTGATGACCCCTGGGTGCTCATCTGATTCTCGTAGTAAATCTACTTCTCTATCTGCAAAACTGAAACATTCTGGTAAGATCCTCTTCACTGCGACATCACGGTTATCAAATCGACCCCTGAAAGCATCAATAAAAAAAATAATTGGTGATTTTAAAAGATCATTTTTGTTTCACTTACAGATAATAGAAATGACATGGGAAGAAATCGAAAAATGATCTTATAGCAGGAATAACATAGGAAATAATGGCAAAGGAGAGGAGGAAATTGAAAATTGAGAGGTGGTAGATGGTGAAATGAATTGAAACCGATGGTAAACATCCAAGACAGAGCCATTCCCCATCAATCTAGGTGAGCTTTTTAAACACTAGACTGCACCACCACTCCACAGAGTTTTGTGATCAAACATCTTAACCAGCAATCTACTGGGTCCTGGGACTAGATAGCAAGAATCTTAAATACCAACATGAAGCTGGTTCTTACCTGAAGACAAAAGTTCCTTCACAACCTTGTCCTAGAACGTCTTTAGGATTGAACAAAATCTTTCCCACTTTAACAAAGCCTTTTGGTATGGCATCTTTGTCCTCTGCTGAACCCTGCAATGACCCTGTGGAAGTCTGGGCTGAACGTGGTTGCTGAGACACAATGATGAGTGGCTAGAGAAGAGAATAATTTATACATAATCACTGCGTACATGTGGAGGTGCATTTGTGTAACATTAGCATGCATTAGCCTGATGATGACATAATTAATGTCGAAATATTGAATCCCGACACGATGGCGTGCATTTCGATACTTGGGGTATGTATTATACTATATTAGCATGCAGTTACATGTAATATCTATTTAAGAAAAACAGACACTGCCAAGCCCTGTAAAGTTCTGCCCATATACAGTCATGATGTGCCTATATAATATGGTGATGTGATGTCATCATGACCATATTTAGGCATGTCACATGTTTTTGTCAAATAAAACTTGATGGTACAGGGCTTTAGTAACTCTATTTGGGTCAGTGAAAAAATCCTATTTAGGTCATTTGATTTATAACAAAAAAATATATTTGTGATCCTGAGAGTATACATACCCTTGGTAAACAATATACAATCAAGGCAAGGCCGATTACTAAGGTCACAATGCCGCCCATGAAGGCAGAGTCACTCAGCCCAAACTGGTATGATTCACTGCCAGGTGCTTTATGGGGTTGTCTATAACTACTGGACTGGTAGACATCTTCAAATCCAGGCTTAGCTGATTGATTGGGAATGTCCACATTGCTAGGCTTCTTGTGTGGTAGATTATTGTTGGCCACTGCCTGTGGGTGCTGCACCTGCTCTGGCATTACAGTAGTAGTGGAGACGATCACATCAGGCTTGGGTTTCTGATCTTGACTTATTGTTATTCCAGAATCTTTTGGCACTTCATGGTATCCTACGAAAAATATGATATAAGAATAACTGTCTTTGTATATGTACTAGAATTATTGGTTTAAAAAGTGTGTTTAGAGTCAGAGCCTCAAAAATCCTATTTAAAAATTCTACATGTCAGCAGAAAAAAGTATTCTGTAGTCTGCGAGAACAAATGTTATCTATATGTGGCAAAGACAAACCAAACCAGTCACTCGCCGCAAAAATCGATTTTGTGTTATTAATACAGTGTTGGAGAGTAAAATAATAGCTATGAAATGGTTAAAAAATCATTCAAATCGGACATTTCCTTATGAAGTTACAAGCGTTTAAACATAGAGCTGTTTAAAGAACAATCACTATCACTATCTTTAAATCCTTAAAAAGTGTTGTTTTAACATTGAAAATGAGGAAAATAACTGCATAGAATGGTGTGTAGATATATAAAGGTTAGTTTAGTGCAAAAAATAGATTTTTTAAAATTTGACATTTTAGCATGTTTTGGCCATTTTCTCTGAAACAGGATTTGCGACGAGTGACTGGTTTGGCTTGTCTTTGCCACATATGCTTATTACAAAAAATTCCCAGGCAGCGCATATATATAGGTCTGCGAACAGCTTGTCCAGTTGCAATGCATAAAGCTAGGCGAGCAGCCTGTGTGTATTGTCAATGTTCTACATATTTGAATAACTGACTTTATTAATTTTGAGTAATTAAATATGAATAAGGTAAGGCTTACTTACCAAGTAATAATGTCTTAACTGGTTCAAGCTTCAGATCTAGTGGGTTGGGTAAGTCTACATCCACTGTCAATACACTAGCAATTGTGTCATGGACACCGGGGCCTTCTAACTGTGGTAGACTTGTCATCTGTCAATCAAAAATGTATGCCCATACAGAGTCATGATGTGCCTATATATGGTCATGATGTGATGTCATCATGACCATATTTAGGCATGTCACATGTTTTTGTCAAATAAAATTGATAGTCTGGACAGGTATTTAGGAATTACTGGAGAGGAAAATTATCTTAAAATTACTAATTATTATTCATTTATTATTCCTCTCTGGTATTTGTAATCACACTTTTTACAGATATGCTCTTGTGATTGGTCAAATCTTGGTCCGGGTTCAAAATCATTGATGCATGACTGTTGTAACTCAGTGGTGTATGCCAATCTGGGGTCTACTGGTGGATTACCATACACCAGTGATTGTGCATTAATACTGGCATTCGCTATGCCAAGCACAATTTCATACCACTCAATTAACATTATGCTGGCGTAACTTGTTGTGTCTGAACATAGCCTAAAATTTATAAAACACCTTAATAACCAAAATGCTCCAACACAAAGACCAGTATCCTTACCATGACTGGAACACTTCCTTTGGCTACCATTGCTGGCAAGGCGTACACACCATAGCTATGCTCTCCAATAAACAAAGTAGGCCTGTAGACAAATAATAGGATTTTTATAGCATTAAAATGCAAAGGAGCTTGAAATAAAAGAAAACAGAAATTAAAGCAGAGATTTCAAGTATAGGTAACAAGAAAAAGGCATACTGTAACTTTGGTATGCAGCGACAAAATTAGGACGCATATTTTCTAACAAAAATAAATACTAGAAAATAAAAATTCTAGAGAATTCTCAGTTACTTACAACAGATGATCTTGTTCATTTTGTGTTCTGCTAAACTCTAGAAGTCTCTCCCGCCATAAGGGGAATTCCCTACTTCCACCTTGGAGGTGAGCTAAGGTACTTGGGGCAACTGGTGTAAATGGGACTTTGGTCAAGCCGTCGTGTCTTGGGGTATACAGGCCAACGACAGGTGAGTCATAGATACCTTCCCACAACAGCGCACCATTGTGATTGTCTAGAACAACTAGTGAGCCCTCGGTGACTGATGTGAAATATGTTAGACCTGTTTAAGAGTAGAAAAAAGTAAACAATATTTAATACACCTTAATTATTAAATTTTTTAATTCATATTCCCATGGATGTAGTTATGGTGGGCGGGGCCACCCAGCCTTGAAGTTTTCCACCCAGTCTAAAAGCTAATTTCATGGCCCTCTACCCACCCTTTATCACCCATCCTTAAAATATCTATCACCCAAACCCTGTATTTATTCCCTGATAACTATTTGAATAATTAAACTGTTGATATAATTATAAAGGTTTCATAAAAACAAGTAATAAAAAATCAAGTCTTACCATAGTCTGTGTTGTCTGTGGCCACATGTGCTGAATAATCTAAATAAGTTACGTTCCACCTTCCAAAGAGAAAATTAGAAACCATTAAAAAAATATGTATTTAAACAAACTATAAATAAAACGTAATAAACAAGAATATAAAAAAACCAATATTTACAGTTTTTCTTTGGTCTCGCTATCAAAGACAGTGACGATGAACTCGGTCCTGCCAATATATAGAGTGTTTGCATTCGAGGACGGACAAGAAATCTCCTCCACCTCTGTACTCATCACAGACTGCTTCACGCCCTCAACCAAGTCTATCCCCATCCAGGAGTCTGTTTTCTTACCTAGAAAAATGGGAATGAAGTATTGAAAACTGGGAATCTTGGACACAATAAACTATTTACATATGCTAGGTCTTAAGATTGTAAGAATTTTTGGAACAATTAAGACAATAGCCTGTCTTATTTGACCTGTGATTATGTTTACATAGGTACATCCTGAAAAGAACATAATGATCTAATAACCACAGGGTAACAGGGGCTATATAGATCAGTACACCGGGGTAACCCCCTACTCGTCTTGAAAGATGAGGTTATAGTCCTGAATCTGAGAAGACTTGTTCCACTACCAGAACCAGCAAAAGGTAAAGGTAAAGGTAGGAGAATAACCCATAACTTGCAGCGTCATTGTGCTGAATTGCGTATGGGCGTGGTCCATGACTACCTAGCAGCCGTAAAGAGGCGCTTCTTGGTAGATACATGTTCACATC